TCTCTATTAGGGTTTAGGGTTCATTCGGTAATTGGGGTTCTCTTTCTCTTAAGTCTCCACGGTTCCAATCGGTTTGGCGATCTTGCTCATGGGCTCGACGTACAATGCTTTGTGTATCAGACGTACACAGATACCCTCCTAGGTCTTAAGATATGCGCAATCCTGGGTTTAGGGTTGACGCTTTGCGTCGGGGGAAAGAGTTTGGGGTGGAACGCCGCGCGGGCGTTTGATTGTGCGCTTGTGGCGCCGGCTCCGCTCGCTCCGCTCGCTCCGCCGATACCGCTCCTCTTGAACTGTGAAATCAAATTGGCGCGCCGAGGAGCGCCCTGGGCGCTGGGCGGCAGCTGAGTCACCGTGAGTGGCGCCTGGGGTGCCCTGGAAGGCGTTGAGAGAGCCTTGGAGGGCCCTCAGGAGGGCTCCTGGGGATCTCCTGGGTGGCTCCTGAAGAGCTCCTGAAGGGTTCTGGGTGTCCTAGGGGGTTCCTGGAAGGCTTGGGGCGGAGCTAATTCACCGTGGCGCGCGCCCTGGTGGGGCCTGGGGGGCTCCTGGGGAGCTCCTGGGGGGCTCCTGGGGAGCTCCTGGGGGGGCTCCTGGAGTGCCTCGGGCGGGAGCTAATTCACCGTGGCGCGCGCCCTGGGGGGGCCCTGGGTGGATCCTGGGGGGTTCCTGGTGGGCTGGGGGGCTCCTGGGGGGGCTCCTGGAGGGCCTCGGGCGGGAACTAATTCGCCGTGGCGCGCGCCCTGAGGGGGGCCCTGGGGGCTCCTGGGGTGCTCCTGGGGGGTTTCTGGGGAGCTCCCGGGGGGGCTCCTGGAGGGCCTCGGGCGGGAGGTAATTCACCGTGGCGCGCGCCCTGGGGGTGCCCTGGGGGGCTCCTGGAAGGCTCCTGGGAGGCTCCTGGGGAGCTCCTGCGAGGGTTCCTGGAGGGCCTCGGGCGGGAGCTAATTCACCGTGGCGCGCGCCCTGGTGATGCCCTGGTGGGCTCCCGGGGAGCTCCTGGGGAGTTCCTGCGAGGGCTCTGGAGGGCCTCGGGCGGGAGCTAATTCACCGTGGCGAGTGCCCTGGGGGGCTCCTGGGGGGCTCCTGGGGAGCTCCTGGGAGGGCTCCTGGAGGGCCTCGGGCGGGAGCTAATTCACCGTGGCGCGCGCCCTGGGGGGGCCCTGGGGGGTCCTGGTGGGCTCCTGGGGGGCCAGCTCCTGGGAGGGCTCCTGGAGGGCCTCGGGCGGGAGCTAATTCACCGTGGCGCGCGCCCTGGGGGGGGCCTGGCGCGCTCCCAGGCGCTCCCAGGTGCTCCCAAGCGCTCCCAGGCGCTTCCAAGCGCTCCCAAGAGCTCCCAGGCGCTCCCAGGTGCTCCCAGGCGCCCCCAGGCTCTCCCGGGCAGGGGGCGGGGGAGGTCCAGACACGTATTTTTCAGCCGGAGCGCTCAGCCCTATCCCTCTGGGAGCTCCCAGGGGCTCGCCGGGGGGGTCAGAATCGCCACGGAATGTTTCTGGAACGCCCCAGAGGTCCCAGGGTGGTGTTCCGGGGGGGTCCCGGGAGGGGTCCCGAGGGGATCCCGGGGGGGTCCCGGGGGGGTCCCGGGGGGGGTCCGGGGGGTCCCGGACGGTTCCAGGGAGGTCCCAGAAGGTTCCGGGAGGAGGGCCGGGGGGGGCCCGGACGCGTATTTTCTAGCCGGAGCGCTCAGCCCTAAACCCTCTGGGAGCTCCCGGGAACCCCCCGCGGGGGCCCGATTCGCCACGGAACGTGTTTTTCCAGCCGGAGCGCTCAGCCCTAAACCCTCTGGGAGCTCCCAGGGCCTCCCGCGGGGGCCCGCTTCGCCAGGAAACGTGTTTGGCCCCGCGGGGAAACCCTAGGCCCCTGGCGGTGGGCCCCAGGACGCTCTGTGAGCTCCCAGGGGGTTCCCGCGGGGGCCCGTGTCGCCAGGAAGCGTCTTTTGCTAGCCAGGGCGGTCAGCCCTAAACCCTCTGGGAGGTCCCAGGGGCTCCCCGCCGGGGCCCGCTTTGCCAGGAAACGTTTTTTGCCAGCCAGCCGATCGGGTGGTCCACCTTGGAAAACTCTAAGATACGAGGTCGAAAAAAAATTGCTAGTGGTGATTCGTGACCGTTTACCGTTTTTATGTTGGCTCATGCTGATGTAAAAACTAGCATGTTTGATCACTGTTTCTCGATTTTCGCTTTATAGAGGGAGTTTTTCATTTTTAGCTTTTTTTATGCTCAATCAGGGTTTAGGGCTGATGTTTTGGGGTAAGTCTCTTTGACGATCGCCCAGGCGGGCACAGGATAATCGCTTGCGCGTAAGCCGCATCATTGATAATGAGATAAGGCCCTCGCGGCCCCTGCCTGACGGCAACCGAGACGCTGCTGGGTTGACCTGTGATTTCACGTGCGGCCGTGAGGTAGTTTGACTGCGAGGTGCCAGTTAGGGCGCTTGCCGCCTAAATGGGTGGGTGGATACGGGCCAAGCGGCCCTGGGCGAGTTTACGCAACGTATTAGCGTCTGCGGACCTCGCGGCGGTGTCAATTGGGGTGCGCTATCGCGGAGAGCGCTTCCGCGCGTGCCCGCTCGAAGATCGCGCTCCCTCCCGCGCGGCGTCTGTCTGACTGCGCTGTTCCGAGAGTGTTTCCTCGCGTGCCCGCTCGAAGATCGCGCTCCTCCCGCGCGGCGGCTGTCTCCCAGACGTTCCAGAAGCGCCCATTGCGTGCTTTTCGCGCGTGTTCGATCGCAGGCGCTGCGCCTGCTGCGGAGCGAGCTGCGCGCGCTTCTAGGCACGTCGCGACGCGGGCGCGAAATGCGGCGTCTGCGGCATCCCCGCCAGCTGCGGAGCGCGCTGCGCGCGCTCGTGGGAGCGCCTGGGGGCAACTGGGAGCGCCTGGGAACGCCTGGGAGCGCTTGGGAGCGTGCCGGGAGAGTGCCAGGAGTGCGCCCGGGCGTGCCGGGAGCTTCCGCCAGCTGCGAAGCGCGCTGCGCGCGCTCCTGGGAGCGCCTGGGAACGCCTGGGAACGCCTGGGAGCGCTTGTGAGCGTGCCGGGAGCGTGCCGGGAGCGCCTGGGAGCGTCTGGGAGCATCCCGGGAGGAGAGGCTGAAGGCCATTTGACAATGGGTTCCACTTTCAAACAAGTTCCAGGGGCTTTCCTGGGGGGGGGCGCCGCTTCCTGACCCTGCGCGGGCGCCGGCCCAGGCGCCAGCCCGGGCGCTGGTTTTGGCGTTCGGCTTGGGCGCTGGCTCGGACGCCGAGCCGGGCGCCGGAATTGGCTCGGACCACCTCCCGGGCGCCAAAATCAGAAATGCAGCATTTTCGAAAGAAAAATGTGTCTTGGAATGGTTATTTTTCCGCGCCGTTCGAATCCGAGTGGGGGCGTTCCGGCGCTGCTGGGGCGCCTGGGAGCACCGGGCAGCGCTTGGGAACGCCTGGGACCGCTTGGGAGCGTGCCGGGAGTGTGCCGGGAACGCCTGGGAGGACGTCGGCGCGGGCGCCGGCTCGGGCGTTCGGCCTGGGCGCTGGCTCGGACGCCGAGCCGGGCGCCGGAATCGGCTCGGACCACCTCCCGGGCGCTGGAATCAGAAATTCAACATTTTCGAAAGAAAAATGTGTATTGGAATGGCCGTTTTAGCGGTGCCGCCTAGGAAACCGATTCCGGAACCGAGGACGTGGGATTCTGGGGGGAATGGGCGCCGGGCCCATTTGGCGCGCGGTTTGGGCACAGGGGCAGAACCCGGGCGTCGGCGGTTCGAATCCGAGTGGGAACGTTCCGGCGCTCCTGTGGCGCCTGGGAGCACCGGGCGGCGCCTGGGAACGCTTGGGAGAGCCCAGGGGCGTGCCGGGCGCTTGCTGGGAGCGCCTGGGAGGATCTCGGCGCGGGCGCCGGTTCGGGCGTTCGGCCTGGGCGTTGGCTCGGACGCCGAGCCCGGCGCCGGAATCGGTCTCCCGGGCGCTGGAATCAGGAATTCAGCATTTTCGAAAGAGAATGTGTATTGGAATGTTTTTTTTTTTTTTTTTTCCGCGCCGTCTCGGAAATTGATTCCGGAACGGGAATGGGCAGCGGGCCCATTTGGCGCGCTGTTTGGGCAGAGGGACAAAACCCGGGCGCAGGCGGTTCGAATCCGAGTGGGGGCGTTCCGGAGGTTTTCGGCTCAAAGTGGAAAGCTCTCCGGCAGATCCGCGGCGCCAGCGATGGCCAAGCCGAGCGCTCGCACCCTGCTGGCGGCGCGGCGCCGCGGCGTCCTCCGCAACACGTCGCCGGAGGAGCGCCGGACCATCCAGAAGGCCGACAAGAAGGAGAAGGAGGCGAGGAGGAAGAGAGAGAAGAAGGAGAAGGCGGCGCAGAAGAAGAAGGACAAGGACAATAAGAAGAACGCCAAGGAGTGAGCCGGCGCGGGCGCGCGGGCCGGGAGCGCGGGCGCGCGCTCCCGCCTGCGCGCGCGCGTTTGTTTGTCAACCGGCGGGCGTTCGGGACTCGAGCCAGCGACGTTCAGATTCTAAGCCAGAATGCTTTCAGATTTTCTAGGTCGGAGAGCTAACCACTGGCCTGCGGGGCCGCCGATTTGACAGTGGGCATCGCTGTCCGAAAGGTTCCAGGGGGATCCTCCAGGAAGGGGGCTCCGGGCCATATGACAGCGGGCCCCACTGTCAAACAGGTTCCAGGGGTGCCACCCGGGAGAGCGACTGGGGGTCATTTGAAAACGGGTTCCACTGTCCAATCGGCGCGCTTCGCAACACTGGTGTTGTAGTTTGATATCGGAGATAAGAATTCGACCAGGGGGCGCGCCGCCGGCCAGTGAGCTGTAGGTGTCGGGAAGCCGCGGCGGCTGGAACCGGCGCTGCGACTTGCTGGCAGGAATCGGTGCTGAGGGTCAGGGGGGAGGGAGTCCACGTCGTCGCCGCCGCCGCCTCTCTTCGTCGTCGCTTCTTTTCATTCCTTTTTCCACTCCGCCGCTGCCGGGCGGGCGTCGGCTGCGATCGCGTGGCTTACCCACGCGCCGCCGCTCTCCTTGGCCCTGCGCGCTCAGTGCTCTGCGGCCTTCTGCGTGCGCTGTGTTTTCTCCTCCAAGTTTATGAGCTGGCTCAAGTTTTCGAACGCCTTCTCCATCTGCAGCGGGCTCTTGGCATGCGCGGCAGCGCGCCTTGCTGCTGAGTTCCTGGTTCTCCGGTTGGTTTCTGCGTCCTGCTTGGCTCTGTGGTCACCCCCAGCTGTTGCCCTGGCGCGGGCTGCCGCCTGCTCGGCGCGTGTCTTCTGGTCGAACTTCTTCAGCACCCTGGGCTTGTCATCGCGCAGCAGGGGGAACGCGGTCGACTTCGCCTTCTTCGCGGTCGGCCCGCACTGGCTGCACCTCTCCCTGTAGGTGGGCGCAGCTGCTTTTGTTCCCAGGGCCTCTCGGATGTCTTCTGCCGTTGCGCTCGGCGTCCAGCCGGGGAAGCGTGTCCACTCCATCTCGGCCGAGCGGCCCGGTGGCGGTTGCTGGGGGAGGGTGGGTGACGCGCGCTCCGGGGAAGGCAGTGCTGTTGCCCTGTCGGCTTGAGCCAGCGCGCGTGGGGCGATTTCTTTCTCTTTCCTATTCTATCTCCTGCTCCCTTGCGCTCTGCGGCGCGCGCCGGGGTTCGAGCTGCCGAACTCTGCCCTGCGGCCGAGGCCGGATTTAGCCTTTTTCGCGTTCCGTTGCGCCACATCGGCGCGTATTCTTGGTGTCTGTTTTGGCGTTTCAGAATCGCCGCGGTGGTTTTGGCCTGGGCCGCGGCTTCTGGCTTCTCGCTCGGAGCGGGGTGCCGGGGTGGCGGCTCAGCGCGGCGGGCGGGCGGCCTGGCGGTGCGGGGGGCCGGCGGGCGCTGGGCGAATTTCGCGATCGGGTGGGCGCGGCATGGGTCGGGTCATGTTTGGGCGGGGTTGTAGCCCGCTGGCTTGCGAGTTTCGGGGGCCGGTCGGGTCGGAATCTGGGTCGGAGCTGCCCGGCGGCCAGGGGACGCGGGGGGGTCGGCTTCGGGGTCGGCTGCCAGGGAGCGGCAAGGGCCGAGCGGGCGCTTCGCGCGCTTCGCGACATCGGCGCTTCAGTCTTATACCAGGGACAGGAATTCGGCCCGGGGGCGCGTTGCCGGCCGCGTCGGGACTGGGGCCGCGGGATGAGGCTGGCGGCTCGGGCGACGACCTCGGACGGTTGGCCGGGCGGGCCAGGGGCTGGCCGGCGGTGCCAGCGCTTCGCGACACTGGCGCTGTAGTCATATACCGGGGACAAGGATTCGGCCAGGGCGCGCGGCTCCGGCCGGGCGGGGCTGGGAGCGTAGCCACCTAGGGAAGCCGCGGCGGCTGGGGCCGGCGCCGTGACCGGCTGGCAGGGGGGGGCAGGGGCCGGTCGGCGCGTGGCGCGCGTCGGGACACTCGTTGCGGGTTTCTGGACAAAAAAGTTTTTAGGAGACATTTCGTTAGGAAGTGTCGGTGCGACCAGGTGCTAAACTTACCTGTGCTTGTGCGCTGCGGCAGCAAGCCAGGGCCGCCGGTCGGCTGGCAGGGGGGAGAGCTGGTATCGGGGTCGGCTGCCAAGATGCGGCATGGGCCGAGCGGGCGCTTCGCGCGTTTCGCGACATCGGCGCTTCAGTCATATGCTGGGGACAGGAATTCTGCCAGGGGGCGCGTTGCCGGCCGCGTCGGGACTGGGGCCGCGTGCTGGCGATGGCGGCTCGGGCGACGACCTCGGACGGCTGGCCGGGCGGGCCAGGGTCTGGCCGGCGCTCGGCGCGCTTCGCGACACTGGCGCTGTAGTCATATCCCGGGGACAAGGATTCGGCCAGGGTGCGCGCCTCCTGCCGGGCGGGGTTGGGGGCGTAGGGAAGCCGCGGCGGCTGGGGCCGGCGCCGCGACCGGCTGGCCGGGGGGGGGCAGGAGCCGGTCGGCGCGTGGCGCGCGTCGCGACACTCGTTGCGGGTTTCTGGACAGAGAATCCTTTAGGGGAGACTTCTTTAGGAAGTGTCGTTGCGACCAGGTTCTAAACTTACCTGTGTTTGCGCGCGGCGGCAGCAAGTCGGGGCCGCTGGTCGGCTGGGAGGGGAGGGGCTGGCTCTGGGGTCGGCTGTCGCCACGGGGCAAGGGTCGGGCGGGCGCTTCGCGCGCTTTGCGAATCGGCGCTTTAGTCATATACCGGGGACAGGAATTCAGCCAGGGGGCGCGTTGGCCAGCCGCGTCGGGACTGGGGCGGCGGGGTGGCGCATTCAGCTCTGGCCGACACCACGGACGGCTGGCCGGGCGGGCCAGGGGCCTGCTGGTGCTCGGCGCGCTTCGCGACACTGGCGCGTCAGTATTACACCGGGGACAAGGATTCGGCTACGGGGCGCGCTCCGGCCGGGCGGGGCTGAGAGCCCGGGAAAGCCGCGGCGGCGGGGGTCGGGGCCGCGATCCGCTCGCCGGGGTGGGGGGGAGGACCAGTCGGCGCGTGGCGCGCGTCGGGATACACGTGGATGGGTCCGGACAGAGATTCCTTTAGGAGAGACTTCGTTCGGAAGTGTCGGTGCGACCAGGTGCTGAACTTACCTGTGCTTGTGTGCGGCGGCAGCCGGCCAGGGCCGCCGGCCGGCCGGTGGGGGGAGAGCTGGCCTCGGTGTTGGCCGCCAGGGGGGGCAAGGCTGGGCGGGTGCTTTGCGCGCTTCGCAACGTCGGCGCTTTAGTCATATACCGGGGACAGGAATTCGGCCAGGGAACGCGTTCCTGGGCGCGTCGGGGCTGGGGCCGCGGCCTTCTGCTTCTTGGCCATCTCTGCATGTCTTTTGTTATCTCCCATTATCCTCCCTGCGGCTTCTTTCTTTTGTGTTTGCGCTTCCATCCTCCCTGCTATGCTCCTGCTCGCAGGTGCTTCATGGACTGCGAGTTCGCGAGGACTCACTCGCTTTGGGCGCAAGTCCATTGCGGGTGTAAGACGTGGGCATCTCTGCGAATGAACTCGTCTGGCGCTCGTGCACAGGAGGCCTGTTCGGGCCCTCTGCGTTGGGCGCTGGTCGGTCGAGCATTCGCGGAGGTCCTTCTCGACGAAATCGTGCTATATGGGTGTCGCCGATTCCAGTTTGAGCGTGGCTAGTAAGGGTTTCTGCATGGGTGTCGGTCTCGTTTGGGAACGGGTTTCCTGGGGGATGAAGCGACACCCGTGTAGCACGGCTTGTGCCCTGCCGTGGCACTCTGGCCGTCGAGAACTGCGCGACGCGCACCACGTATACAGGGAGCGGGAATGATAGTACCGTGACCCAGTCAGAGTGTCCGGAGCTCTCTGCCGCGAGGGTCCTGCAGGGTACAGGCATATCTTGGATGTTCTCAAGTGTGAATGAACGTCTTCTTTGAGGCGGCGCAGGGTCATGGGCTGCGTCCGCGGGCCACGCCCTGCGTGGGGCCTGGCGCTCTCTTGGCGCTATCTCCGAGCTATCTTTGAACGACGCCACAGACGGCGCTTTCGGCCTCGCCCCCGCGCTCGCTGCGGCCGCGGGCTACGCCCGGCGCGGCGCTTGGTGCCTTCTGGGAGCTATCTCCGAGTTCTCTTTGAAGGACGCCACAGACATCGCCTTCGGCCTCGCCCCCGCGCCCGCTGCGGCCGCGGCCCACGCTCGGCGCGGCGCCTGGCGCTCTCCTGGGTGTATTTCCAAGTTATCTGTGAAGGACGTCACAGACGGTGCCTTCTATCCTGATCGGCTCTCTCGCCAGATCCGTCCCGCACAGGCACACAGGCTCTCCGGATCTTATGATATTCGCAGAGCTGCCGAACAGGGTGCGCAGCTATCCAAGGAGCGTTGAGCTGGGTGGTTTCCCTCGTCGCCAGTCTGGCTGGGGCAAGTAAAGCGGCAAGAAGAGCTGGTGGGGCGGCGGCTGGAACGGCGGAGGGTGAAATGTCTCTTCGAGAACCCAGCTCTGCAGGCCCGCCGATATTCCACGGAGCATCCCAAGGCCCACAGAGACGCTCTGGAGTCACCCAGAGACGCAAACATTACGCCCACAAACATTGCGTCCGTAGATATTCGGCTCGAGCTATTACGCACTCCGCCTTCGCACCGCGGCGCCGGCTTCACCCGCTGCCGAGCCATGTTCGGGTCTCTGCGCAGGATGTCCTCGGCCGCCTCCTCCTCTGGCGCCGGCGGCGCTGGCGGGCCCTCTCGCGCGGCGGGCGGCCCCGGCAAGCGAGGGCGCCTCGCGTCGTTTTCCGACGCCGTTCCTGCGCAGAAGAAGTCGTTTTCGGAGGTGCTGCTCCCGGCCGAGGCGCCGATTGTGTTCGACGTTCATCCCTACGGCTCGAGCGCGGAGAACCACATCACAGGGTGGCCCGCCGGCTTGCCCTGCTGGCAGGTGCAGGTCGTGCACTCCGCGCACCCGTCCATGACGGCGTTCTTCCTCCAGGCGTTCGACGCCTTCCTCAAGGACGCGGCGCACGAGGAGGGCTCGCCGAAGTCGCTTAAGGAATTCCAGGAGATGTGCTTCTTCCGCGCTCAGATTACGCGCGTGGACGCCGACGCGTCGAACGTGCCCCTTGTCCCGTGGCGCTTGGCGATCTACATTGCGGGCCGCTCGGAGGCGTTGACGGACATGCTCAAGCTTCTCATGGCGTACGCGAACCACCGCGCACAGAACCCGCACATGCGCGACAGGAAGCCTTTGCCCGACCCCGCCGTCCAGAAGTTCGAGATGTACCTCGGTGCCGGTTGCCCGAGCGCGGCCGCGGCTATCTCGAACGCGGACAACGTGCAGATGTTCCGCGACCGCAACTTGCACAAGTGGTCCGAGGCGGCCGGGCCGGTTGGGAACAAGTATCTCTTCATGGACTTGGAGGCGGAGGTGACCGGAGCGCTCGCGCTCGGCTGGCGCGGGCGCGCGTGGCCTCTCCGCAACGCATTCGACGCCGCAGAGATCCCGCTGATGTCCGACGGGGTCGGCGGCTTCGTGCGCGTCCTGAAAGGCGACCGGGCGGCGATCGCCAACCAGGCGGATCGCCAGAAGATCATCGACCTCGTGACGAGCGGCCTCAACAATTTCCCTACGATCGTGCTGGCTGAGAGCATCCCCGAAGTGGGCGAGAAAGCTTCTGATGGAGACGTATACGCCGCTGCCAGGGACTTCCTCGCGATGCTCCGCGCAGTGCCACACGTGCTCGTGAAGGAGATCGCCAGGCACGAGAACGTCGAGGAGATCGCCGAGCAGCAAGGGGAGCTGGGCAAGGAGAGCGATAAGGAGAAGGACGACCTGGAGGCGTGAGCGGCCCGCGCGCTTGAGCGCGCGCATGCAGACAGCGCCGGCATTCGGCGCGCGCCGAGCCCGGCAGCGCCTTCCTCTTGCCGGCAGCACTTTGCGAGGTACGGCGTGGTAACACATTCACCACTCGCGCTCTGCTAACGCCTGCCCCGCGTGTCGGAATTCCGCGGGGCAGCGTTGGGTGCCCGCACCAGCCGATCTCTCCAGCTTCAACTGCGATGGAA